ATGAGATGATGATCCCGATGATCTGCTTGATCCTTTGCCGTAGATGAGAATGGTGACAATCCACAGGGTTCCGCCGGTGACGACGAGCAGCACCAGCAGCAGTGTCCGACTTATCAGCTGGCCGTTGATGTGCTCGGCTACTGTGAGCAGCTCGTTGAAACGGGATTCAGTCTTTTTGCAGATCATTGAGAGTTTGTATAGTTGGAAAGAGTAATGGTTGATTGATGTATTTGAGCAATTTTTTCTACTGTTGTTGATTGGCATTTTTTGCCCCTCAAAGCACCGCATTTCCCTCATGTGCAACCAGGCGGTCATTGCCGAGACGGAGTTGTAGCAGATCCAAAAGTTGACCCGACAAATGAGACGCCAGAGAAGGCAGGGCAGCGGGGCCGCTTGCACCAAAATGGGAAAGTGCTCAAACCAAAATTTTTGAGTAAACGGACAGATGTTTTTAGGATCGACCACTAGAGTGAACATAAAGTACAGCCCAAAAGTGATTGTGAATAGCAGAACTTAAACAGTAAAAGTCATTACGATATCATTACACAGTGTTTACTTTAAATGCTTTTTAAATGTTATACTTACCAGCACTGTTTATGATTGTAAAGCTGACATTGCCTAGTTCATTAAAAGCCCACACATTTGTTTGCGTTTTAATAGACAGTAATCGGTATTTTTTTAGCCGAATTTTAACTGAGCAAGTTTTTGATGTTTTCTTACATTGAGCATGCAATAAATTAAAATACTTTTTACTGGCATTAAAATCTAATTTTAAAACACTTTTAAGAGTTTGATTGAAAAGTTTTTGGCCACAAACAAGATAATTTTGCCTATTGTGCAAAACCAAATCTGAATAGCAATCAAGTGTGTCGATGTCCATTTGCCAACATGTATGAAAACGACTAAAAATGGCTTCGAAATAGACCGAAAAAGAAATAGCAAGAAAGTGCGTTAAGAGAATAAGATAAAGATTGGCTTTAAATTGACACAAATAATTTATTAAATAAGGATCAACTTTCAAACAAAATGTCAAGTCCTCGTGATCAAACCAATAAAGACAAATTAAAAATAGTAATCGTGCAAAAAACTGCCCGTGCACCAAGTAAAAAAAGTAGTTCTGTACTAATTTGCAAATAAAGTTGCTGTACCATTTAGAAGGGTTCAGTTGTACAGTGAATGTTTGATCTTTATTTCTGTTGCTGTAAACTTGCTGAAAAAATGCTACTGGTGACAAAGCAGCAGTTTGTAGCATAAAATTGAAAACCTTTTTAAAAATTTTAGAAATTCGTTTTAAAATGATATTTTGGTGTTTATTTTTGAAATTGAAGTTTGAGTTGTAAAGTTTTTGATTATTAATTAGTTGTTTCATGGTAAAAAGTTATCACAATTTGTTTTTGCAATGCTTTTTATATATTTTTTGTTTTTTAATAATTGTTTTTGTTTTGTCAAAACTTAGCAAAATTGAATCATTTTTTAATTTAATAAATAGTAAATGCCCTATTGATGATTGTTCATTAGCGTGACTGACGAGTAACTTTTCGTATGTTCAAGTTCAAATAAATGCTGGCAACTGTTTTAAACTAAAAAAGCTATACCTTCTTAGAATTTATTTTCAATTAATTATTTAGTTAACAAGCTAAAGAATGTAAAAGGTTAAGTTTAAAGTTAATAACTTTTTCAAATTTATTGAATATCATATGCTGTTGTCTAGTGCAATTTTCTAAATTATTATGCTGTAAAGGTACGCCATTTCCATTTACTTTAGCTTTTTGACAATTAAAAAATTACAGTTAATTTTAAATACAAACAAAATTTTTTTTGTTTGAATTGATTTTCCGCAAACTTTTGTAAAAGCGCTGACTTATTTTGCGGTAATTAAAAGCTTCAAATGCGTAGTTTTTTAATTGTTTTTCAAAAAGCACAAAACAAACATTTTGCATAAAATTTTTTCACAACACAAGTCCTTTTTTAAATTTTCAATCGATTGAGTTTCATTACCTTCAGGCAACCTCAAAAAATGATCTTATTTGAATACACTTTTCCCTTTTTACACTTTCCTGGTAAAGAAGGGCAGGTCCTCCAGATTGGCGGCCACTCGGGTCTCCGTGGGGCCCTTGTACACGCGTCCATGGGCGTCAGTCCACTCGCCCCCGGGCAGGAAGACCTTCCGCTGGCGGAGGCCCACCTCGACGACCGGCGCCACCACCAGGTCGTCGCCCAGCATGAACTGGTCGCTGATGTTGAAGGCGCGCCCATCCTCGGGCGCCTCGTACCACATCGGCCGAATGATGGGCGTCCCTTCGTCCATGCGCTTCTTCGCCAGGGCGATGATGGTCGGGGCGTGGCGGGCGTGCAGGTCGGTCATCGCCCGGACGATGTCCTGCGCCTTCTGCGAGTACGTCCACGGGCCCCAGCTGAAGGACATGCTGGGGAGGAGGGCACAGGCCTGCGCCATGCGAATGTAGATCTCCTCGGAGGGCCGGCCCCCCGGCCAAAAGCCGCCAATGTGGTAGGGGACCAGGTAGGAGTAGCCGGCCATGGAGACGGAGAGGACGTTGGGAATGAGGGACCGGAGAAGGACATCGAACCCAGTGGTCTGAAAGTCGCTCAGCTGCACCATCAGCGGGAGGGCCTGCGTCTTGAAGGCCAGCGAGGTGGTGGCATTGGCCGAAGCTTTTGCTACTGTTTCTACGTAGGCCTTCGTGTAGAGGCTGGGCGTCATCTGCATCCAGTAGTCGGACATGTGAAAGTCCCGGAGGGCGTCACTGGCCACGTAGAAGGAATCCACGCCGGATTCGTAGTGGATTCGCTTCAGGTCGGCGTCGTAAAAGCCCTGAGCCTCTTCATTGGCAAAGTCCAAAAAGTAGGTAAGGGCGGTGCCCGCCTTGTTCTGCAGATAGAGCTGCCGGTGCGCCTGCTGGTTGGCCGCCGTGTCCCAGATGATCGGATTGACGAGCACCTTCACGCGGAAGCGCTCCTGGTGCAGCTTGTTGATCATATCTTGGGCGTTCCCAAAAAGGCCGGCGTGAAACTTGAACTCCCCCCGGTTCACCTCCCACTGGTTATTGAGCACCACCTCGGCGCCGGAGTAACCGGCCTTCACAATGTGATTGGTGAAGTCCTCCAGCTGGCCGCGGTTGATGAACTGCCCGTAGGTGGAGTAGACGACGAATTTGGGCGTGGTGAACTCGCCATCCCCCGGAACGGCCGTCGGCTTGGCGATCAGCCCCGAGGCAGGATTGGAAATGTAGTTGAGGATATCGCGGGAGGTAGGGGCGGCAAAGATCTGCACCTTAATGTCCCGATACGTCGGATCGGGATTGTTCTCCAGGTAGGGGTACTGATTAGCTACGGAGATGCACAGCGACGGCTCCGAGCCGGCCGGGTCACGGCGGACAAAGAGCGGCGCCTTCTCGTCCAGCAGAATGGCGAAGCCGTTTGAGTTGATGAAGAGGTGCTCCAGGATGAGGTAGAACTCCTCCTTGGCGGGATTGTTCTGGTAGTCGAGCAGGTAGTTGAAGGGCGTCCGGGGCGTCAGCGTGGTCGGCTTCAGGGGCCATTCAGGGTTGTAGCGTTGGTAGCCGCCGTACCAGTGGACCTCGCTGTCGCCGCCGTAGAAGAAACAGAGTTCCCGTTTGTCGTTTGGCTCCTTGGCCCCTGGCCAGGTGAAGGCAAAGTGAGTCACATTGTCCTTGTCCTGGATCTTCAGCTTGATCACCGTCTTGTCGCTGGCCGCCAGGTCCCACAGTGTGCCGTTGGTGGAGTTGCCGGTGTTCGGGGGGACGGTCGTCGGTCCGGTGCCGGGGTTTACCGTGGTTCCGGTCGGGCCGGCGGTGGGCGCCACCGTGGGGCCGGTCGGAGCGGCAGTGGGCGCCGCCGTGGGCCCCGTGGTTCCTGGAACTGTGGGCGCCGCAGTGTCGGCCTCGATGACGTCGCCGCCATCGTCGTCACCATCAGCATTATCGGCATCATTATTTCGCCAAACATTGCTGTACCACTCGTTATCACCGTAACGATCGTCTTCGGCCTCCTCCTCCTCTTCAAAGAAGAAGGTCGTCTGGTTGGACTTGTCCACCTTCTCGATGGTCGCCCCGACGAGGGCCATCTGCATGGAGGCCTGCTTCGGGTGGTGGCCGTTGATCAGGCGAATCATCTTGCCCATCATCACCGTGAAGTCCTTGTCGGAGAAGTAGTCCACGGAGGTGGCATTACTGGGTCCGATGATAAGGAGGAAATTGATTAAAAGAGTGCAGCCGCTCAACATAATTAGTGGCTTCATTGCTGCAAATAAATTGATGATGATTTTTTTCTGCAGTTTAAAAAGCTGTTGTTTCTCCGCTCAGCTCCTAAGCTAGAACTGTGTGAGCAGTGCAGTTTTTTGTTTTAAGTGATTACTTAGTAAAATAAAATTTAGTTAATCAAATTGATGATGATGATGATGATGATGATGATGGCCTTTAGTGGGTGATTAGAGGTAGAAAAAAGTAGAGCACACAGTTTTCTCAAGTTGGCACAATTGCTGCACTTGAGTGGATCACCGCAGTTATACCACTTTAGATATTGTGTTATCAGCACAGCACAGTTTTCTTTTTGAATACTTTTTCGTTGTGCGACAATTTAGCTAGAAGGACAATTAAAGTTTAGATGTAAAAAACAAACGGCAATATGCCATTTAACTAGAAAATACTATTTAACAAAATATCTAACACTAATGTTTACATTTGGTGTGTCACTTGCAATGTCACTATCATTGACTGTTGTACATTTTGTTTTAGTCAATAATGAATAAAAATTATTTTTAGAGATAATACTTTAATTTATTTTCTTTGTGTTAATTAAAAAATGCAAATAGATACAATTTTTTATAGCAAAAAAATGTTCTAATTGTCGCAGGAAATATTGTTTCAAATTGATTAGTACTGTTTCAAAAGTTCAATAAATGTTTATAATAGAAGAGTGATTAAAAGTGGCATACTTTCTCTCTCTTTCTGAACTACCACTTAGGAGATGTCGCACTTTTTGTTTTTGTCGTCTCCTCCATCGGCACCCTCAGTTGGGTGCTGAGGATTCAAGTGGGGGTTATCAAGTGCAATCAACTCCAGCAGATATTCAAACAGGCTGTCCACTTCAGAGATGTGCTTGGCACTGAAATGATAAACGAGAATAATAGTATTAGAAATGGAAAATAATAGGCAACCCAAACTGCCCACTACACCTCATTTCCACATAAGGACACTTCATGTACTTGGCCAGCTCCTTGCCCTCTTCCACGGAGACAACTCGGTCCTCCTGCAGATCAGACTTGTTCCCAACGAGGATCATCGGTAGGCTAGAGACAAAAAAATGTTAAAATAAGAACATAATTGCGCTTTATTTACAACTTACATAATGTTTCCAGTCTGCTCCAGCAGTTTGTCGTAGGTGATCTTCGCCACCTTGTAAGACATCTTACTGTCAATGCTGTCTCAAATAAAAAAAATTTCTATAAAATATCAAAACATAAAATTGTGAGTAATGACCTGTAGACGAGAAGGTATCCGTGAATGTTCTGGGCATAGGCGGGTGGAAAGAGAGTGTACTCATCTTGGCCAGCAGTGTCGATGATCTTCATGTTGTAATCGATGCCTTTCACATTGATGTTCTTGTACAGGACTAAAAAAAGTGTAATACTTTAAATACTGAAACACAGTCACATCATCCTCATCATCACTTACTACTTTCAATGGTCGGGTCGTAGTGATGGTAAAACTTTCCTTCGACGTAAGACGAGGCGATGGTCGATTTGCCTGTACCAATAAAAAAACAAATAGTGTCATCAACAGGTGTAATGGCCAATTAATAAATGTGTCAACAACACTCACCCACACCTCGGTATCCGATAATGCACGAAACTCGCCACTTGGGAACGGGTTGGAGAAAGCGACTCATTATTTCCTAATTGGCAATAAGTAAACAAAAAGAGTGATGAACAAATAGTTGAATGATGGCAAATTAACTCACAGTTTTTTAACGACAGCAGTCTACGTGGTACACACACACAGAAAGAGTGCTCTCTGAAAGCTGAAGGAATAACACAAAGTGAGCTTGTGGGAAATGTAAAAAGATGTTCAGATTGGTCCTCATGGAAACCATTGGCCAGGGCGCATCAAGCGGAGCAAGGCAGAACGGCACTTTCCATAGGCAGCACAGCAGCAAAGCAGCATTCACTGACAGTGAGGGCAGTCAGTAGAGGACGGACAGGAAAATGATACTACAGAATTAGAGTGGCAAAACTGAATGGCTCATTTTAGGGTGATTTTTGGATTTTCTTCTTCTCAGCGTTATCAAAACTTAGCCTAACCTAACCTTTTATTTTCTTCCGTTCTTTGCCATTTTGATGTTGAGGTGACAGTGGCTCGTTAGGCAAAAAAATGTTTAAAAGTGTACAGTAAAGGCATAGTAAAGTGTGGTTATAAGTGTGTGTGTGTGTGCGTTTTGTCTGTGCAGAGAATATGATTGTCTATTGTAGGTGTGAGAAACAGAGTGAAAAGGCGTGTAATTGTGATGAAAACTATCATTTTTGTGTGTGCCTGCTGTTATGTGACGACACCTCTTTCAGGTGTCGTTTTGGCATCCAATTTGCCGATTCAACGCCTATTCAACGGTGCGAATGCGAAAGGCAAACTTTTTAGCAACAACGAGCAACATCTGAAGCAGAAAAGAAGATAAAAAAATGTTGTCAGTTGTCAGTCAGTTTTTTCTCTTCATTTAATCAACTCCACTTTACTTACCACAATAAAGATGGTCACGATGCAGCAGCTGAAAAACTTGGCCAGGCTGTGCTTTTCGGCGAAGTAGTAGTAAGAAATAAAGAACATCACCAGCACCCAAATGGCAAGCATAAGGAGAGCGAAGAGAGCGGCAATGATCCAGGTGGCACAAGAGACCTCCTTCTCCTCCTCCTCAACATCCTCGCCGTGGATGCCTTCAAGCGGGTAACCTGCTAGTAAAATTAATCCAAACTCTCCCCCATCGACTGTGTCAGCCACTTGATCCAGGTTTCCCATTCGCTCCATTCTCAGGCGGAATGTCTAGTTCTAGGTCGACTAGGCCTGAAGTAAAGAAGTGATGGTTAGTAATGACAAATCGGTAGTTGTGTTTACAGCTGAATTGGGAACAACACTTACCACAACGAGCACTCTATCTCTCTAGCACTTCTCGGAGCACGACTGAATTGAGGCTGATTCAGGATGACCGAAAGAGAGCGATCAGATTTTGCTGTGAAAATGATAAGCAATTAGAGACAATAGCAAACACAGTGAGAATAGAGATTCGTTTACGCTTTAGCTTTGGGCAAGTGAGATGGGACTGAGCTGGTGAGCTGGTCCTCCGGGAATGTGGCTCAGAAGAGAAGGTCGTTGTTGTTGATGATGACTGTGAGCAGCGCTGGGTAAACACCAAAGATGATGACAGGCAACTGTTGCAGTCTCGCAGGATATTTGAACTGCTCTTTCGGACTCGCTGGCTGGCTGGCTGGCAATTGCCTGAATGTGCTCAGCAGATTTTTAGCTAGACGAAACAGCAGCAGATAGCGCCAGCTGAGCCATAACAAAAGAGGGTTTGCAGTTTTATTTTTATAATTTGCTGCCGACTAAATGCCAATTTTTAATTACTATTTTGCCCTTTACCGCGATGGCCAATTTGGCTGCTCTCTCTCTCTCTCTCTCCCTCTCGACTGCCACTTTTTCATTCCACAGGTGTCCTATTCCACAGTACACCGTCAACAGGCACACAATCCGTTTGGCTGCTCAGCAGCATCACGCCACAGATTTATCCTCATTCGAATCTCTCTCCCCCCATCTCGTTGGTAGCAATCACATCGTATACTGATCGCTTCACCAAAACAAATCGAGCTCAACTTCTCTTGTTTCCTCCTCTTGTTGCTGGTAAGTAGTGCTACCTACATCTTTTTTGTTACCCTCCATTCAATCACTAAACCCGGTCGCCTTCTCCCCACACACTCTGTTTGTCAGCCAACAACCACAACAACAACAACAAAGACCGTCCTGTGCTCAAGACGATGGAGAAGTACGCTAAGCTCCTGGACAAGGAGGAGGAGGAGCAGCAGGTGGTGGTGGTGGTGAAGGAGGAGTGGATCAAGGTGACGGTGGTCATCGCCGCCGTCGAGGATGACCACCTACTGGAGCCGCGCAACTTCCGCATCAAGAAGAGCACCAAGCTGATCAACCTGAAGCGAGAGTACAGCTACCGTGTCGGCTTTCCGCCGCACAGCTTTCGCTTCTACTTCGGCGACCGAAAGATCGCCAACAGCGATACGCCCCAGTCGATTGGAATGGGCGAGGGTGACACTGTCGTTGCGATTCGAAAGCACGGATGTAGCCTGCTCTAAGTCGCTGTTTACCTTCTCTTGGTAACTCTGTATTTCATTTTTTGCCAATTCTCTATTCTGTATTTACTCTCTTTCTCTTTAATATTCCTGATACAAATCTCAATTTACTGGGGCGCACAAACACTTTCAACACTTTTAATTTTGGTTAGGGCACTTTACTACTTCTAAAACTACTTTGATCACAAAAACTGTACCTCTTATTTCTTACGCAACCTTTTTTCTCTTTTTTAATGAGGAATATTCTTCAACTACGGGGACACACAAACACTTTCAACTTTGGTTTGGGCTACTAAAACTTTATCATTTAATTAATATGAATTCAGAGCAATAAAAGCATTGTAATAATTAAAACTTTTAGGTTGTTTTCAATTTGGTGTTATGTTTTTATTTACCAGCACCGTATACAGAAAAACTGTTCCAGGAACACTTAAAAAGATTATTTTAATGAACCATTGAGTGTTTTTATTATTGTAGTTAATTATAACAGTAACTTATCAACCGAATCAAACTTAAACAAACATTTATTCAGCAGTAAAATAAATGGAAAAAAAGTGAACTAAATATTACAAAAAGAATTAAAAATACTCAAGCTCGAATTGTAAATAAAATAAAAATTGAAAAATTACAGTCACTAAATTATAAACTTTAACAGTGCTAAGAAACACTGCCAAGAATCGTAGTGTTGACAAACAATCTTAAAAATTTTTAATTTATAGCTTAATTTTTCTTTCGTCCATTTCCCACCTAAAGCGACCTTTCAACACATACACACAGACCAGCCCACACACACACACACACAGGCACAAACAAAAGCAGACAGACACAATCAAAATATTGATCTTCCATTTGGCACACTTCACTCACATTCAACTTTGGTACATTAAATGTTCAGCCAATATTGGGAAAAAGTGAAGAAAAGAGAAGAAAAAATTTACTTTTGCTACCCAGCAGTTGAGAAGGCAGGTTGAAAAGAACAGCAGCACGCCATTTATTTCCCGGTAACAACTTTCATATTTTCTTTATTATTTGTGCGCCTTCATAAAACAAATACAGTAAGTTCACCGTTTGCCACTGTCTACTTTTTTATAAACACATTAAATAGCTGAAAATTGTCGTCGCTCGCTAAGTTCTTTCTTTTATTTTTAACAAAAATAAAAAGCTTTTCTGAACTTGGTGTATAAAAGTAGTGTGCCACCTGAGTTTAGAGGACGCAGAACAAGCCTTTGTCAACACTCGTCAAACCCAAAATGGAAGGCCGCCCAGAAAGAATCTGCCGCGTCTGTGGCGACCTTGCCATCGGCTGGAACTTCAACGGCCTCACCTGTTCCTCCTGTAGGGTGTTCTTTAAGCGGAACGCCGGCAAAGCTGCGGTAAGTTTTAGCATTAAGAAACATAATAATAATAACCAGCAAAAAAGTGTATTATTTTCTCAAGCTATTGATCGGTTGATTCAAAGCTGTGATTTTGGGTACTTTACCGTTTATTTGCATTCACATTTTTGCACCCTATTTGTAGACTTTAAAGTGCGATCGCGGCGGCCACTGCGAGATTGCCAGCGCCGCCCGTCGCAGCTGTACCGCCTGTCGAATGGCCAAGTGTCTGGCCATTGGCATGGAGCTGGAGAAGGTGATGATGGTGAAGTTTGGGGGTGAAAAAAGTGGTGAGGGTGATGAAAATGTAGACACTGGCTCGCAGTTCTTGAACTCCATCGATGGCTGTATCAGCAGTACTCAAAAGGCCAGTACCTTCAAATCACAGTACCAACCGCTGAACACCACTTCAACCGCCTCAAACGTTGAAAATCAAATGAAAGTAGTACCGGCTAAATCTAAAAACAGCAAAACTTGTGGTGATCAGTCGCTGGCGGTCGTTTCAACGCAAAATATAAAAAAGATGAGGCGAGATCAGTTCATTCTCGACCGCTTGCTGGAGTTTAGTATTCGCCAGCAGTTGAGCTGCTGCTCTTGTGCCCCGTTTCAGTGCACTTGTGCGCTGAGTTCTTCCTCCTCATCATTCTCCACATCGTCTTCTACTGATAAGCCTAAAAAGTGTTCAAAAAAATACGTCAGCAGCCTTGCCTTTAACGCTTTTGAGTTGAACCACCTGAAGGAGTTGCAAAGTGCCAATGGCCACCTCGTGGACGAGTGCTCCCTGCCGGTGGCAAAGGTGGAGACCAGCTTTGAGAATGTCGTCAATCTGCCGGTACTCTACCTGAAACTGGTGATCAAGTACTGCAAAGCCTTGCTGCCTGATTTTGCACACTTTAGTGAAGCCTGTCAAATGGCACTCCTCAAGGCCTTCTTCACGGACTTTATCTTTATTCGAATTGCCTTCAACTACGATCCAAGCAGCGGCGAGTTTCGCTATATATCGGTAATTTAATTTCACTTTTTTTGGGCAACTCAAAAAATAGTTTTTTATCTATGTCAAGGACGAAACGGCCACCTCAACAATTCTCATTAAAACGGGCAACTTTTCAGACGTAAAAATAAAGCCCATTCTCGACGCCATTCTTGCCGTGGCCATCGAGATTGGCCGCATTCTCAATCACGACACTATGCTGAAAGATTTGGTAAGAAGGCTTTGGGACACTTTAAATCATTTTATTTTTTTTTTACTTTTTTTCCTTTTTTTACAGTTTACAGCTCTTGTCTTCTGTCAACCCCAGGCGGCTGAAGTGGTTGGGGAGAATCGTGAATTCCTTAAGTACCACTACTACAAGTACTCCAAGCTGATGCAACGTTACCTGGAGGTGAAAACCGGTTCGCCAAAGGCCGCCCAAGAGCTGCATCATCTCCTGCTCGGATACGCCCACCAAATGGCCACCGGAAAAGCTTTCCTGGCGGCCATCTTTCAGGAGGTGGGCGTCGCCAATGTGCACGGCATTCTGGCGGAGGTCTATGATTTAGCACTGGGGCAGCAGCAGCAACAGCAATCACAGCAACAGCAACAACAACCGAACACTTCAGAAAATACTACATTTGAATAAAATACCTAAATACCAAAAAAACAATGTACCCTAACCAAAATATAAACTGATTTAGAAACACGTTAAAATATTGTAACTCAAAAACTTTATTCAATTTAAAGCATTTCTATAAAGTTCATTACACCTTATTTGAACAGCGTCAGATTGCCGGTAAACTTGGCCACCTCATCGAGGCTTCGCCCGGCAATGATGAAGAAGTTGAAGATGGCATTATGGCCCGGAAAGGAGTTCGGGTCTCGGTCCTCGATGCTCCAGCAGAGGTTCGGTCGGCCCTGCTGCAGCCGCTCGTGGCTGACCGCCCACTCGGAGAAGGCGTCCCTCTTGAGGGCGCCAATGGCGAAGCCGTTGCTGTTCACGAAGAGGCTCTCCGCCGTGGTGAAGTCCCACCTCTTGGGGCCGGTCTCATTCAGGTCGACCAGGGTCTTGCTGGCACTGTTGCCGGGCGTCTTCAGGTGGTACCAGGTGGCGCCCGAGAACTGCAGGTCAAAGCAGAAGTGGCGTTCGGTGCGGCGAAGCAGACCGGTCATCGTCAGGTTGTACCAGCTGGCCGACTCGTTGGAGTGCACCCGATTGATGACGAAGTTGTCGTAGTCGGTGAAGTCGAGGAACCAGCTGTGGTTGCTCTAGAAAGGGAGAAAAAGGGGAAAAGCACAAAGTTAGCTTATCATAAGATCAATAAATATAAAATGGGAAAGAAACTTCGCTAACCGTCTGCGAGCCGCCCATGAAGCGAGCCCAGCCGTTGGTCAGGTTGAACTTCAGCTCAGCTGCGCCCGGGTGGTGCAGATTGGCAAAGGTGATCTCCTTGGTGGTGTGATTGAAGGTAATTTCCTTGCAACTGGCAAAGGTGACAGCAAAGAGGAGGACAGATATGCCCACCGTCAGTTGAAGTTGTTTGACCATTTCGCTGCAGCAGCGGTTTTGTGGTGCTTTTGTTAAATTAAAAGTGCTAAAAGGCCAAGCTGTTATTGTTTAGAGTTAGACTGAGTTTATATAGCTAAAAGCCAAGTTTGAAGTTGTTCAAGTGCTGCTGCTGTTGTTTAGCAGCAGTGTACAATAGTAACCTTTGCTCAAGTTGCAACTGTGCAATTGCATAAAACACTCTTATTCTACTCTAGCCTCAAAGTATTTAAAATCTTTCTTTTTAAACATTAAACATGCCAGATGTTCTCAAATTGTGCTTAGATTTTTGGTGGTTGATAATTGGAAAATAGTACAACTTTGCACTGCCAATAAAAACTTGGTTGCAGTTATCAGCCAGTTTTTACCTTTATCTGTTTGTTTGTTGATAAAACAAAATCGGATTTTAAAAAAAGAAGCGATAAATAACACACACATTGCATGGTTGCCAATTTTAATATTTAAAACTATCAGTCTTTTGTGTTACTAAGTCAACAAACAAGTGAGTTAGCCAAGTTTTACCATTGAATGCATTTTAGCACTTAAAAAATTAATAATGATAGTTTTGACGCTGACCGCTTAGCTCAAGTTGTCATTTAACCCAATTGGCCGTTATCTTTTTAAAAAACGTCAATCAGATTAGCTGCGAAAAAGCCTTGAACCTCAGCGTTGAATGAAATATTTACAAGAATTTGTAAACGTAAATGAAACCTTCTTTTTTCCCTCTTTCAAATGGACATTTCATTTAGTTCCAATAGTTGGTGTCCAGTATTCTGGTGATACGCAGTTGATGACTGTTCTCAGAGCTTAGCCCAGCGGCAAGATCAATTTTAACCGTGAAAACAAAAATTTCAGATAGTATCTGCAAATGGAATCAGTCATGAATACACAGTCATTCAGTCATACGACACAAAACCCTTACCAATTAGCCATTCTCCGTTTCTACAAATTTGCCGCAGAAGAAGATTAGGTAGGCAATGTAAAAGAGGCTAAACTGTTTAAACAAAAATTAATTAGCTGATTACAAAATCATTCCAAAAATTTTAAACTACTAACTTTTAACAGTGACTCCTTTGTCAGCTGGTGAAAGGCCTCAATCCGAGGCGCCAGGTACTCATTGAGCGGATCAATCATCTCCGTGTAGCTGGCCAGCTTCCACTTGCCGCCCAAGAAGTGGACATTCTTCAGCGCCAGTTGCAGGCGAAAGAGCTTCGGGTAGGGATAGCAGAGGCTAGTGTTGAGCACCACAATGGGAACTGCGCTGCCAAAGGAGCCCAGCGTCTGAAAACCCAAAAGTAGCACTCCAATGACGAAAGCCGACCTTGGCAGCTTGTAGACGTTGTAGTAGAGGAAGGTGAAGGTGTACACGTTGAAGAAGAAGTTGCTCAGGAAGAAGACGGCAAAGAGGGCGGTGGGCATCTTGGTGTGCTGCAGAAAGCGGACGATCCGCGTGTGCTCCACCCGAAACTGGGCGGCGTTTCGGGCCAGTGTAAAGTGCGACAGCCGACCGGAAGTGCGCGCCACCTCGGAGATGGCGGCCAACTGGCCCTGGTTGAGCTCAAGCAGGGCAAAACGACAGGTGATGGCGAGGTTGAACAGAGCAAAGGTGCACACCTTCATGATGTTGACGATGGTGGAGATGGCGAGGAGGAGGTCGATGAAGGCGAGAATGAACAGCGGGTAGAAGCGGTAGGTGGGGTAGTCGATGGAGAAGATGAGGAAGGTGACGGAAACTGAAACAAGAAACAGAGATTTAAAAATGGCTGAACCAAAACAACAGTTTTTCCACACTCACCAGTGATCACCCCGTAGGTGCCCAGCTGCATCACCAGGAAGAACTCCACCAGCTGCCGGAGCTTCAACCGCGTCTCATGGGCAATCTCCGGGAAGAACTCCAACTTGGGGTTGACGTTCAGGTCGACCAGAACTGAGCCTCGCCGTTCACCTCGAGACCCCGGTCCGAGGGTGACAAAACCACCCGTAGTTCTTCTAGCTCCCAGAAACGCCCTCAGGCGGTCTCTCGCCTCAAACAGCGAACTCTCCTCGCTGAGCTTTCTTCCAAAAAAGGACTTGCTATTTTTTGCAGCAGTTTGACCACTTCTGCCCACTCTGGCGCGGTCCACCTCCTCGTCCTGCAGCTGTTCAACATTTCGAACTATGAGATCGTAAAAATTGGCCCACATCAGCCTCCCGGGCGGCCGGTAGAAGATGAAGTAGTGGAAGAGCAGGCCACAGAGGGGAATGGGCGAGGCGAAGATCAGCACATTGCCGTCGTGGATGCCCATCTGCAGGAGGGCGGCCACCGGCAGGTCCACCGAGGCCATCAGCTCCAGCTCCTCGCGATTGTCCCGCAGGCGGCCAATCGTCCCGAAGAGCAACATCCGCCCGGAGACCAGCAGACAGTAGGCGTAGAAGAGGCGGTAGTAGGCGACGATGTACCGCTTGATGCCGCCCTTCCGGTCTGCCTCATCAGAGTGAAACTCGTACATCTGCTGGACGGTGCTGTAGTAGAAGGCAGAGTTGAGGATGGCTCGGGCGAACTTCAGCGGCGAGGGCATTCTTGCTGAATAGCTAGCTAGTTTGTTGTGATTTAGTGGATAAAACAATGTGTTTCTTAGGTAAAACTGTGTGTTGATAAGTTGTTTCTAAGCAAGGAGAAATGATCAAATATCTTCTCAACTAAAAACTCGTTGTATGTTTAGACATTTTATTTAGACTTGCTATTGTTTTGAAAAATTGTCGTTTTTCTTTGACATTTTAGTTTTTCAATGAAACACAAAACTAAAACAACAAATTGTGATTGCAAAGAAGAACATAGGCAAAGAAAAGAAATTATAATTTCGATTTGTTATTTTGGAGCACCACTTAATTGTGGTTATTGTTGTTGTTCTGGGTAAATGACAGAAACTTTTTTTGTTGCCGTTTTCCTGCAATTTATAATTTATCATTTTTTAACTTGCTTTTTTTATTACTTTTAAAAAATTAAATGAAAAGCAATTTTAAAAGTGGACAAAATTTAGTTCTACTACATTAAATGGTAATTAATTATTAATAATTTTGTAATGAAAAAAAGTGTCATTTAGTATGATCATTACTTTATCGTTTCTATTATTTGCCTTTTCAAATTTTACAAATGACTAAAACTCACAATTTATAATTTTTTATTTACTTTTGATTTGTTTAATTTACAATTTGATTTAACTTTAACAATGCACAATTAAAATAGTAATTACCATTTTTGAGTACAGAAAATTCCTCTTGAATTACTAAATTATTTAGTGTGATTGCCGTTTATTTTTGCCAAAATTTAAAAAAGCATTTTTAGGTCGGAAATAAAAAATGACGCAAAACGGTACCGGGGTAGTGGATAGCAGTAACCAGTATTTGCTGCTGTGCACAACAACAACAACGGTGACAAACCAGGTATGATCGATCGTTGCGTACTTGCCTGTGGGAAAGAAGAAGAAGAAAGGAAGGAGAAAAAAGGTTGAAGGTTAAGTTAAAGTCCAATCTTCTAATTTTCTTTTAAGAGGATGCACCCTCTTTAAAAAGCGATTGTCTCTCAGGTGGAGATGATAAGGACAGGTGTCTATTATCAGTACCGGACTTGCCGGATCAATCAAGATGAAGCCCACTGGCATCTCTTTTTCTCTGCAGGTTTTTTAGCAAAACAGCCAAACGGCAAAACACTTCAAAAGTCGGTGATGGCCGTTGGATGTCAACATCTACTTTTCCCTCATTCTGATAATACACGTCAGATTAGACAATATTTGACAATGAAAGGTAGTGCTGCTGATTCTGATTAGAAAAACTTAAAAAGTCTCTTAAAAGTACGACCTTTGTCATGTGCAAAAGCCCAGCAATGGGGCAAACACCATTATCACCGCAAGCAGCGTTAAAGATAAAGAGTTCTCCTTAGTACATGTAGGTAGTCTTGGCTGATTCAAAAGTGATCGTAAGTTATTTTGTTTTAAAAAATATAAAAGTAACTCTCAAGAAGAAGGTGTCTTCACTCCTCGCCTTAAGCTCTCTCACTTGATACGCACACACACCAGCAAAACCGAACCTAACTGACAATGCTTAAGTTTGCCGTCGTCGCTCTGCTCGTCGCCGCCGTCATGGCGGAGGACTTCAAGTTCCAGGACTGTGGTAGGTGTTTTCATAGGCTTTTATTTCTGAACTTGAATGAATCCTGAACTTCTAAACCATTTTTTTCCAGGCCACAGCGAGGTGAAGCACCTGGAGCTGTCCGGTTGCTCTGGCTCCCATTGCGTCATCCACAAGGGCAAGGACTTCATGATGACCGCCGACCTGGTGTCGAACCAGGACACGAAGAAGGTGCACGTGAAGATCGTCGCCGACGTCGGCGGCCTGAAGCTGCCCATTCCCGGCGTCGACGAGGACGGCTGCAAGCACATCAAGTGCCCGCTGACCAAGGGCGAGGAGGCCAAGTTCACCTACTCCATGAACATCCCCAAGCTCATTCCCAACATCAAGGCGCACGTCATCGCCACGCTGAGCGGCGACCACGGCGTCATGGCCTGCGTCAACGTCGATGGTGAGGTGAAGAACTAAGCTAAAAGATGTAAATTATTTTTATAAAAAGCAGTTTTTTTGTTTGTTAAACTACTTCTTTTAATTAAAAGTTTTTTAAAAACAATGTTTTAAGTGTTTGTCATTTTTATATAAATGCAGTCAAGTAAAATGCGGGCAAAAAATTAACAATTCTAATGAGCAGTTAGCTAAAGGTTTTTTTGCAGTACCAAACCAGCATAAAAAATCATTTATACCAGCAAATGTAAAATGCTCATTTTTTGCTGGGCATTTATTGGGAAACTGCCAGAGTAAAAACATCACTATTAGATCTTCTACTAAAACAATAGAAAAGGTTTTTGAATCAATTCGGTCATTGTGATCATCACCACCATCATCATCATCATCATCCTCATCCATCGAAATGGCACCCGTCTCGCTGACCACCCAGCTCCTCACCGTGGCCATCATCTCCCTGCAGCGGCAGCTGTACCACAACCGAGGTTTTATCAATCAAAACTCTCTTCTGCCCTCATACGACTTCGTAGTGGTGGGCGGCGGCACTGCCGGCTCCGTGGTGGCCAGTCGTCTTTCGGAAACTCCCTCCGTGAAGGTGCTGCTCCTCGAAGCAGGGGGCCCCATCACCGTGACCAGCGACATGCTCTCCACCTACTACTTCTACGACTACAACTGGGGCTACCGTACGGTGCCGCAGAAGAATGCCGGTATATCTTATCAATTGCTTATCAGCTTTTATAATATTTTTTAAACCCCTCAACAACTTTCCAATCTAGCTTTTGGCCTTCGAAATCGACAAGTCCCCGCCACCAGAGGCAAAATCCTCGGCGGCTCTCACACCATCAACAACGCCGGCTACAGTCGCGGAAATCGGCGCGACTACGACGCCTGGTCCTCCTTCTACGGCGCCCAAGGATGGAGCTTCCAGGAGGTACTTCCCTTCTTTCTCAAGTCGGAGAACAACACCGACCCGAAGCTGGTGGCCGCCAACCCGCGCTACCACTCCACAGCTGGGCCCCTGGAGGTGAGCACCATACCAAATCCCGATCCGATTCACCTTCGGTGGCGCCAGGCAGCGAACGCCCTCGGCTGGCCCACCGTGGACCTCGGCGGCGACATGGAGCACCAGTACGGCACCAGTCTGCTGCAGTGCACCCAATCGGCCACCAACTGGACCCGACAGACCACCGCCAGCGCCTACCTCGAGGTGATCATCGAGGGTCGGCCCAATCTTCACGTCCTCCTCAACGCCCACGTCACCAGGGTGATCTTCGATCAGGAGACGACGAAAACTTCAACTTCAACTTCTTCATCTCCAACAGCAACCGGTGTTGAATTCGTACTCAACGGTCAAACACTTCAAGTATCGGCCACTCGCGAGGTGATCCTCTCTGCGGGCGCCTTCAACACGCCCCAGCTGCTGATGCTCTCCGGCATCGGCCACCGAGAACACCTTACCACTGTGGGCATCACTCCGCTCCTTGACCTGCCCGTCGGCGACAACCTCTTCGAGCACTCGAACATGCCCTTCGACTACCTGGTCACCAACCAGTCGGACATCACCTGGAGCGCCGACATACTCTACACGCTGTCGCTGGAAAACCTGTACCAGTTCTACACCAGAGCGGCGGGCCCCATCACCAGAATGCCCTTCACCGAGACGTACATTGCCAGCGGCATTAACGGCGACCGCGACTGGCCGGACATTGTACAGTACCTCAATATCATTCAAGTCGGTACGTCGTCAAAAAGTGTTTGCTAAAAGAGATTAAGATTCCAAAAAAGTAACACCTTTTACTTTTTACCTTTTTCAGCCCCCTCGGTGGACGCCGTGATTGGAATGTACGACGCCAACAGGGAGGCAGAATGGCGCACCTACCTCGGCGGTCTCCTCGACGATAATCGCCACCTCTGGCTCTCCTTCTGTCCCTTTCGACCTCGGTCCCGGGGCACGGTCCGTCTGGCCTCCGCCCACCCCCTCGACGCCCCTCTAATCGACCCCGCCTACTTCAGCGACCACAATGGTGGTGGTGGTGGTGGTGGCCAGGACCTGGCCTCTGTCGTCCGCGGCATGTCCATCGGCCTGTCCATCGCCGAGTCGCCGCTGCTGGCGCCCTACCTGACGCCCTACCACCGGCCCGTCCCTGGATGTCGCCGCTGCTCTGGTGACCTGGAAGGCCGATTCCAGAGCAGGTGTCCCAGTTACCTCGCTTGCGTCGCCCAAACGTACACGCTGACCACCTTTCACCCAGTGGGCAGCTGTCGAATGGGCAACGCCTCCAGCCCGGATGCTGTGGTCGATGAGCGGCTGAGGGTCCTGGGGGCGGGTCGTCTGCGGGTAGTTGACGCCAGCATCATGCCCATGGTGCCCAATGCCAATACCAACGCCGCCACGGTGATGATCGGTGAGAAGGGGTCACAGATGATCAGAGAGGAGTACCGGCTGCTGTGAGAAGAGGAAGCAGAAGAAGACGAAACTTTAATATGCGATTACTCTAGAGAGAGAGAGAGAGAGAGAGAGAGAGAGAGAGAGAGAGAGAGAGAG